CCACATTATTGCCCCATGCTTTTTTCAAAATTTTTTGGGATACCTGTGCTTCCTGCACCACGAGGCTCCCTGCAGCTCCTGGTCCCATGCACGTGTGCTCTCCAGTGTTGTGACACTCATCGATGAGAGAGGAGGGGTGTGGGGTCGGGGGGACTCAGCCTAACATCCCACCTGCACGTGTGCTGGAGACAGCATTTGTCTGTTGTGCTCCTCTGAAGAGCTATACAGAGGGTGAGGAAGAGCCCGTCAGAGGGAGGGATCCTGCGTGCGAGGCTGCTGTGCCACACCAGCCTTCCTTTATCTGCCATCGTCCTCTCCGAGAGGCTGGTGTGGCTGGGGATGGGAGCTGGGAGCCTTCCCAGCAGCCCACGTCTGCAGTTAGCTGGTGAGGAGAGAGTGGGAGTTTGGGCTGCCACCCCCGTCTCATTTGTGCTGCAGGAAGGAGCAGCCGGGGTAATTTGAATGAGGCTGAGAAAAAAGGGAGTGAGATTGAGTGTGTGTGGAAGGGAGGGGAAATACTGGAAAACAGAGTTAGTGCTTGGGCCCTGAACTGAGAAGTTGCTGAAGAAGCGGGACAAGTAAGGAGAGAGTGGCAGGAGTGAATAGCAATGCTGGGAAGCTGGATGCCGACAGAGGAGTTCCTTTGCTCTGATCAGCTTGTTGGGGAATCAGCATGATTTTAATGTATGTTTTTCTAGCTGGTGTTTTCAATAATTCCCTGGGGCTTGGTGATGAAGCAGGATATTTTTCTAATTCCTTCCTCAAACAAGAATGCACAGTTGCTTAATGTGCAGCTGGTTGTGAGACCACATGCTTGGCTACACAGGTCACACCATGTCCCAGCACAGGTAGGTTATCCTGGTCTTGTAAATCCTTGGTGTGCTTTGTTGAGCAGGACTGCAACATTAACTATTGACAGATGTGTTTTTTTAATATCCTTTGGCTTTATTATGTCTGTTAGCTGATATGTACCTGGCTTAAACATCATTCTGCCTGAAAACAACATCCTTTTTTCCTTTAATCATCTACATAAACAGAAAACATAGATGTGGCGGTGTCATACTTTGGACCCCTCTGCTATAAGTGTCTCAGCTGGGATGGAAGCAGGGGACAGGGGTAATATGGCATCCTGCTTTTCTCTCTGAGGCTCTTGGTGTGTGTTCCTGGACTGTAAACCAGCTCAGCTGGCCACAGAGGGACAAGCACGCTCAAAGCATCACAAGCCAGATCACATGATAAGATGGGGCACTGGGCAGACAGTACCTATCAACAGAATGTGAGGGTGAGGAATGAGAAAAGACAGACCTAGTTTGGACGTCCTGGAGGCTTGATGACTAAGTACATATGAGCATGTGAGCGTGCTCTCCCTTGGCTGCTAATACTGCTTACAGGGAAAAGGGGCAGGTTGCACGCTCTGCATGTGAATATGTCCCACACAGGACTGATTTTGCGCTTTGTAAGGTGTTTTTAGTGAACCCCTTCTGCAAGAACATTTTCCCCTCTGCAGCCTGTGTGATATTCACAGCCAGCTGGTAGAAATTGTGGGTTTGTTTGTTTTTCCCTTTCCCATCCCCTTCCTCTGATTATTGGAAATGAAAGGAGGTGAAGGCAGAGGTGAGACTGTGCATTGCATTGTGCTCTTGTTCTGGCCCCACTGGCAGCATCCTGAGCCTGGTGATGAATGAGCTTGTTGCATGAGATCCTCCACTGAGGTTTCAGCATCTCTAATAAGGTGGCCAGCATTTCACTGTCCTCTGCACCTGCCTCTGCTTTATTGACTGCACCACAGCAATATTAAGCTGGAGTACTGGGCCAGTGTGATCAGAAGGAGGCTGAGGAGGGGGTAGAGGGAAGAAGATACCAGGGCAGCATGGGAGAAGAGCATGCACAGAGCAGGAGAGCAAGAGCAGCAGTGGACAATTGAAGTGGAGGATTAAAAAAAAGGTTCCTCCTGCACAGACCTGCTGCTGGCAATCAAGGAGGCAAAGGATGTTTAGGTAGGGGGAGACGGAGCCAGACCTTGTCCTTAATGCCTCTCTCTGCTGGACCTGTGCTAGTGACTGCAAGCCAGCACCTGGACTGGCTAGAGCTGTCACCTTTTTCTCCCTTGCACTAATTTTATGCTCTTTAAACTGCACTGGCAGTGCATGTGGCCCTTTCTCCTGACAGCTGCAGCTAGCCCAGGGGAGACATTTGGCCCATGCTGCTTTTCACCCAGAAGAGCCAGTCTTTCCAAAGACATCCCAGACTAGTTCTGTTGGGATGCCAGGACCATAGGGACTGTAGTAAGGATGTACGGAGGGCAGCCTTGATGACAGCCGGTTGCTGTGTCTGTCCAAGTTGCAGGTTGAATACAGACACGACACAGGCTGAGAGAAGAGTTGGGTCCAAAGTATTTGGTGAAGGGAAGAGACCTTCACAAAACTTTTCCCCTATGATCCAAGAGGAGGTACATGCCAGGCCCCAGCTGTGCCTTTCCCATTACCTAGTGATCCAGGTTTCTCCTGGGAAGCAGGACAGTTGCAACCCATGGAGGGCATATGTGCCTTTGCTAATTTCTGTTTCACAGCCAACTTGGGTGGCAGCCAGGTATTTATTTGGTTAAACCCATGTACCCCTGAGGATAGACTCAACTGGGAGATCTAAAGCTTTGCAGTCCAGCCTGAAGGCTGACTGAAGGCTGATTTCTCAGTTTGTCCTGCATTAGGTGATGCAGGAGAGTAAGTGATTTGACATTGCTCCCAGAGGCTTTAGATACCCAAATTCCACCTAACTCCCAGCTGAGGTGGAATTTACACTGTCTGAATCTCACCCTCAGGCTTCTCTCTGACTCTCCATTTTGTTTCTCTTCTAAAGGTTATGTCTAGACAAGGGAAATGGCTCCTGACCTCCTATTTGCTGGCTGCCTTCCCAGTGCCCCATCTTATGGCAGACTGCGGGGAGGAGCTGCCACCTCCCCACCCCCCCCCCTCCCCAGTCAGGCTCTGCTCCCCAAAAAGCCCTGTGCCAGGAGCTGTACCACTCCAGCCTCCTGTTTCTGGCTTGTGACCCCTTCTCTCCTCCCAGATATTTGGGGGGTTGGTGCTAACAATCCCAAGTGAGATCGCTGCTGCTGGGAGCCAGGTCTGCTCTTGCTTGGCAGAGTGAGGGTGCAGAGGTCTGGCAGATGGGAGGGCTGAGCGGTAGGCATGCCAGTTGGATCAGCACCCAGCTTGCATGCATGCAGATGGGGCGTTGTTGATAGAAATGGATCCTGGCAGTATCGCGGTGCCAAGTTCATGCTTTTTTCCCAGAGGCATTGCCCTGGTCCTGCCCGCTGGGACTGCTCCCAGGTGCTTGCCTCACAGGAAGGCACTGAGCTGGGAGAAGGCACCAGAGCAATTCCCAGCCCCCTGTACCCATCTTGCCTGGAGGAAGAGGAGTGTGCAGAAAGCAGTTCCTCAAGCAACTTCCACCCTGATTTGTTTTGGTACAAAGGTCTCTTTTAGGTACAATCTGTAAGGCAGATACAAAGCTGTTGTTCACTGTGAGAACCACATGCAGCCATGGGTTCCGGGGACCAGTCCCTTCCCTGACACACTATTGTGGCAGGATCTGGTCCAGCTTTGCCCCTTCGCTTGGAGCACCATCCAAACTGTGGACAGATAACTCAAGTGACGAGGTGGGTCGTTGGGTCCTGGCCATGTTGGAAATGAACAGGGCTCTGGCATGGGAAGCTCTCCTTTGGCAGCCTTTGCTTCTGAGTTTGAACCTACAAGTATGTATGTTAGGGCTGGAGGCTGGCAGGGGAGGGCTTTCATGTGCTTGTTTTTACCAAGTGCCACATCTGTATTGCTCCCCTGCCCTGCCTTGCTGATGGCCTTTGCTCCTGCCATGCCCTCACTCCATCTTCTTGCCCCACACTCTCCACACTGACAGAATTGCTGTAAACCTTCCTCTCTGCATCTCCATTCCTGTAATCCTGTAACTTCAGAGTTAATGATGAACACTGAGCCTGCCTATCAGGAGAATTGCCTTTGCAGTGAAACCTGTCAGTCTAGAGGATTTATCAGAGGCAGAGGAAGGCTTAGTATGTGGGACAGTGAACACTGGGCCATGGAAAGCCCTGCCAAAGGTCTTTTTACCAGGACCAGAATCCCCAATAACATATCTTCCCACGAGAATCCAGGCACTGCACAGCAACAGACAGGAAATTGTCTCTTCAAAATGTGATCCTTGTTCTTGTCCTTCCCCCGCCAAGCATGACTGTGGCAGGGAAGTTTCATTGACATGTAATTCATCATTTTTAGTGGTGGTGATTTTGACAACGATATTTTTCCCATTGTTTTCTTTAAACTTCCCTGCTGCCTTAGCAAACTGAACAATGTTCAGCTGTTATGGTTCAGCTCCTTCCTCAGCAGGCATCAGAGAAAGAGAGAGCGTATGAATGATTCCAGAGGGCCACTGATTTGAACTAGACCCCTTGCTCTGGTCTGCAGAAGCAGTATGGGCTAGGATTCAAGGGTGGATTCTGTGGAAGGGTACTGAGTAAATATGGCAATAGACAGGTCCCAGCAAGGCATCAAATGAAATGCCATGAAGCCCAGGCAGCAAATGAATGAATTATGCATTAGTGATTGTGAACTGAAAGGTATCTTGGTAAAATACCACGCTGTGTGTGCACAGGACCTTAGTGCACTAATGGAGGTGAGTTGAGTTCATTCTTCTCCTCTTAGAGACATTGATTCCGACGCAGAGTTGCTCCAGGACCTGTAGTTCAAATTGTCCCCACAGTATGAGGGACCTCAAGGCCTCCCTTCAGGGAGAGCTCAGGCTCCTCATCACTGTTCTGTACCAGGGGTGAGAATTTTCAGACCAGTTCTGCATGAAGATCTCATTGATAAACCAGGTGTATGTATCTGTATAGGAAGAGGAGGACCAGAGTGTTAGATGGTGGGTAGGATCCCTCAGGTTTCCAGTTTAAGGATTTTTGTAACACTGTGGGTTCTTTTTCTATGCAGCTGGCTCAGAGAAACACCATCCAAACCTTCATTCCTGTGCAGAAAATGGAGAAGGGCCTGTTGCTGGAGCACATCTTGCCCAACCTGAAAGTGCCTCAGAGCTATGAAGTTCGCTTGACACCCATCACCAGCTTTGGGGCTGGAGATATGGCTGCCCGCATCATCCGGTACATGGAACGTAGGTGTCTCCTCCTCGGTCCTGGCTACGAGAGCAGGTCCGAGCCTCAGACCTAGGGACATGGGCATGTGTAGATGTTGTCTTCTGTGACCCTTGGGTGGATCTCTCTGTTCTAGGAGTTTTGGTGGCGTGGTGGTATCACATTTGGCCATACTTTGACTGTTGCCATTAACGCAGAGCATTAGATAGAGGTCTCTGAGGGCCGGTCTCCACTCATTCTTCACTCAGCTGCTCTGACTTGCACCCTCCACTCTGTGGGCAGAGAGCCCCAAAACCCCAGTTCCCGATCAGGCCATGCTGCAGCTTCCCGTGGTACAGTGGTGTATTTTAGTGGACAGCCACTGGACACTGCACATTAGCCAAATGCCCATAAAAGTAAGAGGATTTCAGGAAGCTTCATTTATTTCCAAAGCTGAATGCACAGTTCCTTTCTGAATTAGTCACTAGTAGACCTGTAGCTCTGTCCAGTACTCTGAATCCCAGATCATCCCATTGATACACATTGACCATGCTTCTCTCCCCAGCATCTCAACAGCTCACAACTCCTTCCATTCCCACAACCCTATGATTTCTTTACTCCCCTCAGGAGTTTGGACCCTGTATTTCAGCAGAAAGTACAGATACCCTCCTTCTATGTTTGCATGACTTCACACTCTTGACGCATGGGGTGACAGTGTGTCTGGTATCCCCAACATGCCCATTGTCTCAAACTTCCACAGTGTCCCAAACTGTTTTGATGTGCCTCTTAGATATCAAGTGTTGCTATCTAAGTGGGTGCTATCCCAGTGGGTGCTTCAGAAAGAAACTGCTAGGATTGACAGAAGGGTTCCCCGGATCACCCCTTAGGTGGGGTTTTGTTAAGGTCTGTTTCTGCTTGGATCAGAGAGTCAGCATCTTGTTGCATCACCGAGGCAGCCACCGAGCCCTGCTGTTTCATAGGGATGCTGCTGGAAGATTACAGCATCTATGACCTTTCTTGATGCATTTGTTTTATTTGCAGACTTTGATTGTGATTTGCAATTTGAGGGAGTTGTTCTGACTTGTTTTTCTGTTTCCTCTTCTAGCAATCAACTATCCCAACCCAACAGGTAAGCAACAAGACCTTTGTATTTATTATGTTTTGAATGTAATGCACGTTAGTCAAGTGCTTCAGCAGATCAGGCAAGCCAGTGAGCTGGAATAGACAGCTGACTTTGTCAAGTATTTTCCCTCAAAAGAGGATGAAATTGCATACCCTAATGTTTCCATGTTTCCAGTAAGTAATGCCATTTGTTGTACCTCGAGTTATTGCCAGGAGGTATACACCGGAGATAAGCCTCCCACTCATACTTGATATCTCTGTGACTTGATAGGGTGTGATCTTGAACACACCTTTGCCCTGACATTAGCAATCTGCATCCAGTAGGCATGTTCCCCAGAATATCTGTGTTTAAGGAGTGTAATATCATCCTCTTCTGACCAGGAAAGGTACCGCTTGACATCTCTGCAGGCTGGTATGGAGCAGTCTCCAGCTCAGATCTGGTTCCTCTTGCAAACTCCTCAAGCACAGTCCCTTTCTTCTTGCCCTCCAGTGTCATCACTGTTTACTTGGTTATTTACAGAATCACAGAGTCACAGGATCATTCAGGTTGAAAAAGACCCTTGGGATCATGGAGTCCAACCATCAGCACGACTCTACAAAGTTCTCCCCTACACCATATCCCCCAGCATCTCATCTAAATGACGGCTTAAACACATCCAGGGATGGTGACTCCATCACCTCCCTGGGCAGCCCATTCCACTGTCTGACCCCTCTTTCTGTGAAAATTTTTTTCCTAATGTCCTGTCTGTACCTCCCCTGTTGGGAGTTGAAAGCCATTCCCCCTTGTTCTGTCACTGATCACCTGTGAGAAGAGACCAGCACCAACCTCTCTACAATGTCCTTTCAGGTAGGTGTGGAGAGTGATGAGCTCTCCCCTCAGCCTTCTCTTCCTCAAACTGAACAGTCCCAGCTCCTTCAATCGCTCCTCATAGGAGCCTGTTCTCCAGGCCCTTTACCAGCTTCGTTACCCTCCTCTGCATTTGTTACCTTCTGGTCATTCCTGCCAAGTTGCAGGCCCATCTTTACTGAGCACCCAGAGTTCCCATTGATTTTGAGAGCAAAATACAGAACATCTCAGAATGATGGTCTTTAACAAGAATATGATGGTGCCCATTGAGCATAAAAGATTTCTAGCATGCTGTAAGTAGTGGTGGAGTGATCTTCAGGGGATGAAGCAAAGTCCCTTTGCTTCATTTGTTGGATGTAAGCCCAGGCAAAGCCCAGGCAGAGTTGGGCAGACCACTTACTGATGGTCCATGGGGGAGCAGATGGTTCCATGTATCTGTTTCTTTCTACCTGTTCCAGCTGCTGAGTCAGTATTGGTTTTTTATATATTACTCTGTGTCTGTGTAAGCAAGTGCTACTGCTGCACTGCAGGATAGCAGTGGGAGCAAGAAGCCAGGATTAGGCAATGGCAGCCAGGAATCAGGGCATGGGGTTATCTTGTTAAGGCAGCCACGAGGCATTCACTCTTGCAAGTTTATACTCTGAGGGTGGTTTAATGCCTGAGAGCAGGAGCTTCTTATAGAGTCAGAGGGATTTTGTGGCTCTAATTCCTGATTCCCTTTGCTTTGCTTTTCTACACTTTCTGATCCTCTTTAAATATTCTCCATAGAAGACTCACTGGGAAACACCGAGTGTTGCCAGGGTCTCACTCCAGAATGTCTACCTCAGTACTTGCTGGAGGAAACAAGCATCCCAGCCTGCAGGTGGAAGTGACAAATCTGGCCTTTTGCTACTTGCTTTTACACTACTTAAATCACTAGTAAAGCCAGAGCAACTCCAGTCCAAAGACCCCCTCTTGGGGTCTTTGTAAACTGACCCTTCAGACTGCTCACCTGGGGTTGCTTTGGTAGCTTGATTGAGACCAGAACAATGCATGAAATTTGCCTGTGGTGGAAGATAGCTTAGCCACTCTTGTATTTTCATGCAGTAAACCCAACACTTAGGGTTTCTCCTTGATACAAATTACCCAGCTTGTGGTGGCTATTGGGACCTCTGGGCCAGTCATCAGGGTCTTGCCCATGAGTTCACACCTTGAGATTGACTGCCTAAAGTTGCACCCGCTGCACTTGTTTTCAGAGATGCCCCTTCCTTTCAGACCTGCTGCCACTGAAATGAGCCCAGAGGCTCTTAGCTCTGTCTCTGAGCCACAGCTCAGTTCCCAAACTCTCATCCTAGTCAGGAAATCCCTGCTACTACCTTTTATTTTCCCACTTCCCCTGCTACCACCACCCCCAAGGGGAAAGGGTTGAGACAGGATTGTAAAGGTATCCTCACGCTAGGCTGCCCAGCCAAATTCTGGGAGCAAACATTGAGAGCTTTCAAGTGAAAGGCAAAGATTAGATGATTAATGCCTCTGGCAGCCTGATCCAAGGGCATGCACAATGGTGATTAATTTACAAACTCTCAGAGTCACTTAATACAATTATTTCTTCATGCAGTTTCTCTCTCAGCCTAATAAGATGTTAATGACATTGGGGCAGGCATGCATGTGGCATGGTTACAGAGCCAGGTACTGGGGTTATAAAGCAAAATCAAAGTAAAAGCAGAGGAAGTGAACAAAAGACATTGAGGATTTTAAATATTTAGAGGTTAGCAGTAAGACTGACCATAGCTCTTAAAAATCAGTTAATCTGGTTCTAAAAAACAGAATTCATCTTTAAAAAAACTGTCTTGGAATTATCTTAATTCTAAGGTATTACCTTAAAGATCTCTTAGAATAACTGATCATTTTAATGTCATGACTGAATTCCAGGGCTGGGGAATCTGCTCTGTCCTTCTTAGGTCTCCCCTGCAATTTCACTTGGACATAGCCTTCACTTTCTAACCCAAATCCTGCAGTGCTGTCCTGCACGTTATTCCAGCTCATCAGCAGTGGATGGTTTGCTTTCCCTGGTTCTAGCAAATGTAGGCTTGCAACCTTGGTGATTAAGAAGCATATGGGGTTGCTGGGTTTTTTTTCTCTTGGCCAGTGTGTCTTGCCCTTCCAGAGCAGCAACACTAGTGCAGTCTGGCTGTGTGTGGTGCTAAAATGTTTTGGGATCGTGGACAAGGTACAGTGGGTGGTGATCAGTACCAAATGATGCTTGTTGTAGATTACCCTGGGTCATTGATTACTGTCTAGTGCTTGTGTGTTCTCTCTCTGATAACGCCTCATCGTCCAGAGGAATCTGAGCTTGTGCTGGTGTGAACATGTGGGCATGAGATGTGAGCCTGGTGATTAGAGTTGGATTCCTCAAAACTGTACCCATTCCTCAGGAATATGTGTAATACAGAGGTTTAAAAAGGTGACTGCCACCAATTCCTTGTATCATGATGGCAAATAGATTCTCTGGGCCATATTATCCCCTTGTTGCAGATGGAGATATTAAAGCAGATGGCAATCCAGTATGACCCAACCAGTTACAGTATTGTGAAGCTTTCTCCCATTACTGGTTATAAAAAAAAAAAAAAAAAAAAAAAAAAAAAAAAGGCTGTTCTTGGATCCTGACGTACTTTCAGGTCGCAGTACAGTTTTCATGATCTTCATCTTCTAGATGGGGAAACTGATCTCCAGAGAGAAGATGGTAGCCTGTAGGTCACGCAGCAGGTCTGCAACAGAGCTGAGGCTTGGAGCGTGGTCCCTTATGCTCCAAGTCAGTTTCATTCATCAGACCACAGCTAAACGATGAAGGCAATTTTATTCAAGTGTGTTCCATCTGCTGTTCACCCATAGTTTGCAGATAGGATTATTATTTTTTGCATTCATCTGGCAGCCAGAATTTCAGGACCAGGGATGGCTTCCCCCTAAGGACTTGAAATTAAAACCTCCATTATGTTTCTCAAGAAGGCAAAGCAACAAGAAATGCTAATAGCCACTGCAAAGGCTCTCTCTCCTGAGACTGCAGGGAGGTGTCTGTAACCAGGAGCAATCACCTCTGTACTTTGAGCTGCTGCCGCTGCAAAGCCTGCCAAGGAAATTGTTTGGTGAAGACAGTGCTAACTCCAGCCTTTGAGGAACCAGCTCCCCTGCCACCTCCACCTTGCCTCTTACAATCCAGAGAACAACTTTGGTGTTCAATATTTAAATCCACTGTTTAACTTTTAAACAGGAAGCTCCTTTGCGCTGCAGTGCTGAGCCAGGATCCCTGGCAGATGGTGTGAGTCTGCAAGAAGGTTTGCTTCACACAGCCGAGGTCAACAGTTAGACCACCACTCTGTCCTCTGAGACACAGCAGGTCATGTTGAGGTTTTATTTTCAACTGGATCTGCCAGGTTTCTCCTGGTGAGTCTTCCTGAGAACCGTCCAGAGGTGATGTGCTGGCAGTGTCCCAAACTACACCAAACGTCTCCTAGTTATTCTGGGCACCTCCACTTCTAGCTCAGAGAAACACCAGAGCTTTGCCTTCCTGTGGCTTGTTTTAAACCAAAGGACCAGGAGTCAGAGCACTTGAGTTCTGTTTCCAGCTTTAGCACTGTCTGCTGTGACCTAAAACATGTCTCTCTATACTTTTATGCATCTGTTTCCCCACATGTAATGCAGGACATATATAGAAAGAGGCATTGCTACCTCATAGAGATGTTAAAAATCCTTGTTCATTAGTTGTTGCAAAGTGCCTTGAGATCCCAAGCTAAGCAGAGGCAATGTACTGTAGTTATAAACTCCCACACAGCAAATGTTGCCCGTAAGTTTGATCATGTTGTGGTATCTGTGGTGCATGGGACCCTTCTCTGTTTTATGCCCTTTGCTAGAATTGTTGTCTTCTGGAAGTAGCTGCAAGTGAGAGAAGATGGAGTCAGGGCATTGTTTGGGCATTAAAAGATCTCTCTTCAAGCCTTTGAGTCTTCTTCACTGAGCAGTCTCATCCCACGGGTGTGTATGGTTTCTTAAAAATGAGGCACAATAGTCCATCAACTGTCATGACCAGGCCTTGGCACAAAGCTGGGAATACTGTCCTCAGTCGTCTTATCTTGCACAGCTCTCTCTGATCTCCATCTGATCTTGGCCTTTCTCCTTAATCTGCCTCTTCTTTGGTTTCTGTGCCTCGTCCTTTGTGGGTTTGCTTCCCTCCCAGTCAGTTTCCTGGCTGGCCTCTGTGTTACAGCTTTCAGCTCTGCTTTCCACCTGATATTTCCTGTTAAGGGAATTTTGTGCTGGTGAAAGATGTCACCTTTCTCCTCTGAAGGAGGTCCACATGCTCAATATCCCAGTCCCTTTGACTGCAAAAGGACAGTCCCAGTGGATCCTGCTGTGTATGATAATACCATTGTAAGAGAAACTTGTCTTCTAACTGCAGCTGGCAACCAGTGAGCTAGAGTCACACAAATGTTTGTCTTCAGTCTTACGGAGAGAAGCCAGGGGTGTTAGACCAACCCAGCAATATCAGAAAGCTTGTGGGCTCCAGCTCCTCCTCTGAGGACCAGTAGGTCTCTGGTACAGCTGTGAACTCTCTTCTCTCAGCCATGAGGGCTGTGGAAGGGCCCTTAGAAGCTGCTTTCTCACCCTTTTTCCCCTCCATCTCCTTGCGCCGGCTATAAAAGAGCCC